CAGCTAGTAGACACTGGTTTCTTATTGCGAACATTACCTGGTAGTGAATTCTAGATCTCTTTTCTTCGACATGCAGTAGCAAGCCGTAGGGTTCAGTGCAATCGAAACGACTTTGTACAAAGTAAAGTAAACTGAAGCTTAATAATATAAACCTATAAAAACGTTCCACCCTCCAAAATAGAATTATATGTACTCTCAACATTGCAAATCGTTAGTATGGTCTTGGATAATTCTGAACTGTCTTAGGTGCTCTCCCCCTTCGTGTATAGTTATTGTATCACAAGGAATATTATATATTTCTTGTCCGATAACAGACTATTAAACTACATGTGCCTCCGGTTTTCGGTATTGCGTTAGTATTTAGAGTGTGCAATTCCCTTACAGTGTTACAGCCACGGCGACGTAGTCGCCTTTGATGTTACATGCATATGTAGTTTGCTTGGTGCGTTTCGCATTCACGTCTAAACAGAGCACCGCACGATGAAACCACTGTTAATTCTTCATTTGACAAAAATAAAAACTCACTTCGATCCAAGTACGATTCAAGTAGCACTATGGGTTAATCTCAACAAATCTCACGGAGGTGTTACAAAATTAGCTTTATTTCAGCTTTATTTATTGCCCTCTTGAATCCCCGTTACACTCGGAAATTGACCTGGGCACAACCTTAATACAACCAGAACAGTAAAATGTAGGAGAACATGAGAACACATGCACTAGCAACGCTTAAAATATCACTTGCCTTTAACCATGGACTTTATTAGATTATGCGCATGATGAAAATGTCCAAAGAAATTGAACAAATTGTACGTCAACGCGGCAACTTAAGCTACAAGGTAAGACATTCATCTAGATCATACTTTCACCTGGTTATCAACTGTACCCATACGCCGAGATCAGACGCTTTGTCTCCTCTTATCTTAGAAATCAAGACCACGCAGACACGCTCCAGCGCCGATAATGCCTATTTCTTGCTTAAAACCAATTAGCATTGAAGTATCAGTATTAACACTGACATTTAACTAAATCGACAATTAAAGTCAGTACCCGATGAGGTGAGGTGAAACTTTTTATCATCTCCGTCTTGAACGATCTCACGCTGATTTCACGTCTACAATGAGTGGTGATGTGCTGCGAAATTATGATGTCAGATAGAGCACAAAACGATGTATTGCACATGTCAACTTCTCATAGAAATACCTGAATTGTCATTGGAATCAATTCTTAATCGACTGCATCAAATTTGATTATAGGTTTCCTTTTGCGTTGCGATAGAGAGGCGTTATTCTTAACAAACATTCGGTAAAACAACATTATAATTTGTGAGACAGTTTCCTATAAAGTATACAGAATCCTCCAGCCCATGCGTTCCGTATAGAGGTAAAAAAAAGACTGCATGTCTTTCAGCGGTATTATATTTGGCGCGCCCTTTAATTTTGCATAACATATGAATGGTTTTCTGTAGAAATAATGAACCTATCAGTACGTATTTTATCAACTGTATTTCCCACGACCAAATGTTTCGATAGATATTGTTACTGGGTATGCGTTACTAAATTAACCATTCACGAAACAACGTTATGTAAATTACGTGATCCATGCCCAGCTGCTTATAGTTATAAGAATGACGTTTTCTTTTCTGACAAAAAGACGGATAAAGGTAAGTACATGTACTAATATAATATATGCTTGTCTAATGGNCTTTAAAGGCAGACAACGTGATTAAGGAATGTAAAACAGTAAAAGGTGTCAGTTAGTTCACCAAAGGGATATCTGGATGAGTGAGATTATGTTAACCCAACCTCTACCGGAGATAAGTTTTGATTAAATATCACATATGATGTTCCTTACAGGAGGGTGAAGGGGGATTGTCCGGGGGGGGGGGGGGGGGGTATCCAGGAGAGAGATTTGGGGGGGAGGTGTAAGGGGGGATTGTCCGGGGGGGGGGTGGAATTGTCCTAATACAAAAATCAACATCTTGTCTCTTTGTTTTCTCCGAGGCTGAAAACGGGCCATTTACAACGTCCTTATGTCTGTATCTCATACATGTAGCTTAGTATCTATGTCCTCCTTAATTACTTCCCTCGAAGTGTGTCCTTACTACCGTAAAACTACATGTAGAGGCAGGCTGGCGGTTTACAATATTTAATGTGAATACCAAAATTAAATTTTAATACATATTCGTATAGTGCAACACGAATTACATCGATAAGTTAATAACGTGAAATTGAAAAGACACAGAAGGTGAATTAGTTGAACAAGAATATGCATTAAACAAATTCAATTAAAGAAAAATAATTTAACATTCGCATACACGGGGTCCTGTAGGTAACGTACATTCATCTATTTTCTTTGTTTCTTGACCAAGCGTTTCTACGTCTTCCACTGTTTTCGTTTTCCTAAGATTCCCATCCTAGACCTTTCTTGGCGTAATTATATAAGGGACCAAAAAAAAATCAACGATTATTCAAAACGAGCATTGTCATTCTAAGCCACTGCCCATAGCTACAAACGGTAAAGTGAATGTGCTAGTATAATTTTACACTTTAGAAACAAAGCATTACAATAGAGGCTGTTTATAGCTTCTCGTCCATGAACTTTACCCACGGTCAATATTAAGTAACCAGCTATCATTTTCGTTGTTGACAATATTGACCGGGTTTCAACTTAGTCATCTATAATCAGATATCAAAATAATGGCTTATGAAACACGTGTATCTTCCTGTTCCGTTGTATTCTTAAAGGTATCACAGAAGTCATGACTTTATTATTTATTATTTAAGTTACAAATTGCTTTTTGTTTGATCCTGCTTTCAGCTAAGCCATGGGTGAGTGAAAGGTGAAAAACACATTGTAGGTAAAAGAAATGTCTGCATGTTGCTACATTTCCGTGAAAATGTAATCAAATACTTATGTATTGTTTTGTATTAAGTGTTTTGTGACGTACAAATTACCGTGTAACTCGATTATACACTTTTAAGTAGTTCACAAACAAAAAGAAGTTTTTTTTTTTAGTAATTGAATCACCAATCATGATAAAATGGGTATTAAAGGTACAAAAATCTGTACCTGTAAGTCAAGATCCGCATTTAAAAATCTGCAGTGAGAAGAAAAGACGAAAAAAAGCGAAGAGAATGAATGTTTGACATCAATTATTTCATAGAAAAAAGTAAACCTGATAGACCTGAAAACTTAAATTTTTCTGCATTTCAGTGTGACCCTGGTACGGGTGCTGACGCGTTCTACGACATGGTCTACACAGAGCAGCTGATGATGTTGTTCGGGAGCTCGTGCAGTGACGTCACCAGCATGATTGGACAAATTGTAGAGTACTGGAATCTTCTCTTTGTAAGATAATAATTTGTTTTGCGACTTTGTCATTAAAAAAGAGGACTGACAGTGAGTTAAAGAATTCAGTGAGTTATTTTTTTCTTAGGTTCATATTATTGAGTCTGGTTGTGCGCCAGTGACGGGTCCAAGATACCACAGATAATGGAGGGGTTCGATTTTGAAACATTGCCATAGCTATGTTAATCTCCTCTGCACCCTGAGATAGCCCACAGAGTGTTATGAATGTATCATTAAAATGGTCTTTAATATGATATATCTTATCTTCGAGAGTTCATTAGGGGGGGGGGGGGTTATCCCCGAACCCCGAAACCAAAACGTCCGTGTGTTGAGCAAGGTAAACAGAATTGCTATTCATTTATTTAATTTATGTTATTTATTTATTTACTTATTTTATTTATTTGTTGATAATGGTTTCAGGTGTCCCACGCTTCGTCCGCCCCTGCCTTGAGCGACAGGGAGACTTTCCCCACCTTCTACCGCCTGGCTGCGGCTGATGTCTCCCACAACGCGGCGCAGAAGAAATTCATCCAACATTTCAACTGGAACACAGTGGCTATAATACACGAAGATCACGAGCAGTATAATTTGGTAATTGTAGACCCGGAACTTCTCTGATTATCTTGCTGAAAAAGCTTTGTTAATAGCAGGTTATTGATCACTTAATGGCTTTGTTTACACACTTACAGGCTCTCTGCACCATACACTTCAGTAATATGCATGTTTATTTGCCGATGCTTTATAACTAAGCGTCATTCTCCATTGCTTTTTTTAAAATTAATTTGGGTAGGGCGCATGCGCTGTGAATTGGAAGTTCGGTTTATTTACAGAGTTTCTTTAAATGCCTTTTTGTTTATTAATTTTGGTGTGTGGCTGCTATGTGCACTGGCGGAATGGAGAGGCGGTCTATTGGTGTATAATTGTTTACGGATAGATAGAGTCCAATATATTAATGACCATTAATCGACTGCATGAATAAATGAATTTTGAGCAGCCTTGCAGAGTGGGAGGCTATGTAACTGACCGATCGGTGATGAAATGAAATGAATGATAAATTGAATGATTAATGTACCGATCGATCGATTGATTGATTTGTTTATTATTTGATCTGGTTGTTTATTAACTGTTTGGTTGATTGATTGGTGGGCTGATTGCTTTTTAGTTGGTTGATTATCCTAAAGAGATGACTCCTCCTCGGTGTATTGATTGACCGGTCAGTGTTGATGAAAACATGCTATTTTGTTTTTTATTATTATTCTTCTTTTATTTATTTGTATCATTGATGGTAGGTCCCTAATGGATATTATTCATTTACATTCATGTTAATGAAGGTTAAAAGTAACAATCGCCACAGAAAGAATTCCATGTTCCTAAAGACACCTGTGTATTTGGACAATATGGTATCGATTTTTGTTATAGGCTGTAAACAATCTGAGAAGATATCTGGAGAGAAAGAGTTCTCAGGTTAATATGGACGGAGTAAAATTATAGCTCTCTGTTCTGTGGTGGAAGAAAAATAATTTTGGTGTTGTTATGTCTGTATTGGATGTGGGTTTTGTGAAGTTGTGTGTGTGTGTGGCTTTTTGGGACATAACTCAATCTTTTCCTTGTTGTGTGAATACTAACAAGGAAAGCCGGTTGAGATTCGACTGATGGTTGTCATAGGACGGTGCTTTGGTAATGTAAAGCTCCTGCTTTTTATAACACAAATGTTTTTTGCTGTTTTGTTTTTCCTTTGATTCGTTTCTGCCTATTCACTGAACGTCTCTGTCAGAATTTTTCTATACAATTGGATAACGATATTTTTCAAACGTGATCGAAATCGATCGGATATATACTTGCCATACTGAAACTAATCTTTCAATACATTCGTCCGCGATACCCAATTTAAGATAAGCTTCAGCCATCAAAATGTTTGATTTATGTGTTTCATTTATTGGGGAATTATAAGCCAGGTCAACTTTCAATAACCAGTACTAAGATTTATTCATTGATTGTACGAAATGGGTTAGGGTCACTGTCAATTTTTGGCTGGAAAATCTGATGGTCGGCTAAAATGTCAGAATGATTTGAATTGATTTCTTCCTTCGGTTCTCCAGGGGAAACTTGAATGAAGCTAATAAAATAGGTATATTTGTATGAAAACAAGTATCAGATGTGCCTTATCTTATATTCCACGCTGTTGCTGATACATCCTTCTCTGTTTTCAGGCTGTCCACACTCTACAGAGCACCATCGAGGCGGCAAACATCAAAGTAGCCCTCACTACCAGTTTCAGGATACAAGACTCAAACTTACCCGATAAGATGCGGCAAATAAAGGTAAGTTGCAGACTGCAGCTACGTGTACTATTACATCATTCTATTGCTTTGTTGTGACTTTTAAGGCATGCAATGCGCGTTACACCTGTTAATGGCAAAAAACAGTTTGAGTTTATTTTTCTGGGAATTTCAACTAATTTATCGCCATGTTTCAGGGATCACGATCTTAGACGCGTTCTATGGGGCCTTTTTGAATCTCACTTCCCCAAATCCATCTATGTATTTTTAAGTAGTATGGTGATACCGATTTGCCAGTTTAACATGTGTCAGTTCTAAGGTATGTTTGTTTTTTCAAGATTTTTAATTAAGCCTTATACACACAGACCGCTAGGTTTGAAAAAGTGAAAAATAAAAAAAAAAAGCACAGAGAGAGAGAGATCCGTTTTTATCGGGCAATCACTGTTTTATCCTCAGGACAATGACATAAGGATAATTGTTGGCAGTTTCTCGGAGGACATCGCCTACCACGTGTTTTGTGAGGCGTACAGGCAACAGATCTACGGGCTAAAATATGTGTGGCTTCTGGTTGGTGATTTTACCAGCCAATGGTGGGAGAAGTCGCATAACTTCTCTGATTGTACAGTGCAGGAACTTACAGAGGCAGTCAATGGATATTTTGCGGTTAACAGCTTGAATTTCATCGTTGGCAACAGCAAGTCAACCTCCGGTTTGGTGAATAAGTTGAATTATGGAGATGATATTTTTAATAATAAGAAAATATATAAGAAAACAGACACAGAACTGTAAAATTCATTGTTACGTCCTTACCAATCAACTTGTATTCTCGGGTTAATTTTGTTTGATTTTGCATTGGAACAGTAAGTTACAACCAATTTGAACATAGATATATTTCATCTTTTGTCAATAGTGTAAAAAATGTTTTTAGCATTAAATGTATTAATTTTGCTAGTATATTGAGGTAGGTGTATTTGTCAAATAATATTTTACTCTAATTACAGACCAACGAGAAATTTGAGGCACAGTATGACCAAAAGGCTAACGAAATGAACGTGCGAGTAACCAGAAGTGCGCATGCGCCTCAGATGTACGATACCGTGTGGACGATAGCATTGACACTGCAAGCAGCCGCCAATGCTTCCGGTGGTTTAGAGAATTTCCGATATGAAAATGGAACAGTTTGGAAAAGCCTGTTTTTTGATATCATGGGAAAGCTTACATTTCAAGGAGTTTCGGTAAGAATCAAGATACTAATATTGACAAAGAACTGTTAAAAAACAGAAATAAATGCGTGATACTAGACTAGTTTTTTTTTTAATATCAGAATTTTTTCTTTTATCATTTATGATATCATTTATCATTATCATTTTATCAATTCAATACACCTTATAGTTTTTTTTATGTTGCGAGAACTGATCAACAGTTTAACTTGCAAATATTTGTTTAAGATTTAATTATGAAGAAATATCAATATGTTTAATTAAAACATTTTTCTAGGGTCCAGTCTCGTTCACCGACACAGGCGACAGGCGTGGCATATCTGCCTTCACCCGATGTCAAAATGGCGTCATGACCTCAGTGGCGTTATACTATCCAAACAACGACACGCTGTCACTGAATTGCAAGGAGTGTAAACCTCTTCTTTGGACAGGTTGGGAGTTTAGTGTTGGAGGCATATAGTGTGCGTTAATTCTTTCTACAACGATTTTTTTTTAGAAATTTAAGCTATTCTTTCTTTAATGTCATCTCATACCCTACGCAAATACAATTGAGAAAATAACTACCTGTGAACCCATTCCAGATGGCCGACCGCCTGCCGACAAATACTCGGTGGTGATCCAACGGTCTCTCATTGACCCCGTGGCCTTCTACACCATCAGTGCCTTGTGCGGGGCGGGCATCTTTCTGGCGCTGGTGTTCTTGTTCTTTAACCTCCTGAATCTCAGGCGAAGGTAACAGCTACAAATTTTGGTTTAAATTGGAAATGGGAAAGATAGTAAAAGGAGTCTGATAAATATAATGTTTAAAATATTAATTTTTCTCATCTTATTTATTTAACTTTTTGCGGCCAATGTCAAAATGTTTCTGTTTTCCATATGCTGAAAAAAAGACTCCTATGCCCAGGAGAAGGCATACCTTTGAAATATACATCAAATTAAATACGTACATGTACATGTAAGAAAAATCAAGCCTTTACAAGATAACTAATTCTTGAACTCTACGCGTAACAAAGCCAGTTCTTATACGTTGTATCCAACATTTATACGAAAACCTGCATCAATTAAATTATTTAATTAATTAATTTATTTATTTATTTCAAGGTACATAAAACTGTCCAGCCCAAAGCTTAATAACGTGGCAGTGATAGGGTGCATACTTGTGTATTCCGCAGTTCTTCTCCTGGGATTTGACGACGGGACGCTTAGCTCCAAATTATATCCAACTGTCTGCACGGTAAGCAAAGTAAAATTCAACTCCATTCAAATATATCGTTTTTAGAAAGGATAACATTAAACGCACGTCTTATATAGTCGTTGGTGATAACGGGCTTACCACAAGTATCTTTCTATATAATAATAGACAATATTTTTGTTAAAAAGCTAATACGAACTTTAAATACTTTCTTGAAATAGGACCCTGTCGGATAGACAAGTCACCATTGTTAAATCTATATCTATTGAATTCTCACAGGTGCGTGCGTTCCTGTTCGCTGCAGGATTCTCTCTGGCGTTTGGCGCCATGTTTACCAAAACCTACCGCGTCCATCAAATATGTATAGGTGCAGGTACAGGACTGGTGAAAAATAAAGTAAGAGTTTTGTTTGTTCATTCGTTTGATTTTTCAATAATATCAAAGTTCTTAAGGTATATAAAATACATTTACTATATACTGACATTTAAAATACATGTCTTTACATATTCAATTAGCAAATAGACTGCTATTGAAAAAATTAACTGATATTCACGAGCTAATATTCAATATTAACGTATTCATTTTCTTACCTTTGATAACTGTATATTTGTTTTGACCAGTCGTTTCTGGATTTACAAATCTAAGCAATGCAGCATCTCAAGACAATTGATACTTATTATACATGTAGTTTAACCCGTGAACCTATTTCCAGTTATTGAAGGACAAGCACCTGTTCTTCATTATCGGTGCCTTGCTGGTGTTCGACTCCGCCATAGTGTCTCTCTGGGCTCTGGCAGACCCCATGGTGCGGAATGAGAAAAATATAACTACTGAGGTGTGTGGGTGTGGCACCAGAGAATCATAAGCCTAAAGTTCAAGTTCATTCATGTAATGGAAGTGTACATTTGTTGTTTTAACGAAACTATAAAAGTGATATAGTTGTCCCTTCTATACTTGGTGAATTTTTTGTAAGGTGTCGACGGCTCACAGAAACCAGATTTAAGTCCTGAAGAAGTCGAAAGGCAAATTGACAAAACTTTTGAATAGCTTACAACTAAAATTTTTGTCACAAGGACAGTTCATTCTTAAACTATACACCCTTCTTGAGGCCTAAATAATAAGACCAACTTGCCCTTCTTTCTTTCAGCCCGCCCCAGAGGACCCACACCGTATCCTCTACGTCCGGCAACATCTTCACTGCCACTCCCAGCAACAGAACATTTGGCTTGGCGTCTTCTACACATACAAAGGCCTTCTCATGATTTTTGGGACTTTCCTTGCCTGGTCTACCAGAAAGGTGAAGATAGAGGCCCTTAACGACTCCAGGTACATCGGTCTCAGCGTCTATAACGTGGTGGTGATGAGCATCCTCGTTGTGGCGTTGACGGCTGTGATACCGGACCAACCGACATTGGCGTATTGTATAGCGTCTTCCATCATCATCGTCTCTACAACGGTGACGCTGTGCTTATTGTTTGTTCCTAAGGTGGGCGTTGTCATAGTCTTTTTCGAAACTGTTAAAACGGATTTTGTATTCTGTCTAACTTGTATTAAGTTGTTTTGGCAGTAACTTCATAAAATTATTATATACTCTCTTGGTTAACTGCCTTCATGTGCATTAAATACAGAAATATATGAGGTACCTGTCTCTTTATCATAGTGTGGAATATTGTTACAACACTGCAGTTCACTACCAAGTGTTTTTTTAGAGGAGCCCGTAACTTACTGTATATAAGAGTTATGTGACTTTGTGGCTGTTTTAAGACATGACTCAGTTCTTATTTCTGTGTCCACTAGATCCACGCCCTGGTCAAGTCCAGCGGTAACCCGGTCATCACGACGTCCGGACTCACCGTGGAGGCTGAGACACGGCGACTGACCTGTGACGACAGCAAGGAGAAGCTGTTCAGAGCCGAGGTCCAGAATAAGACGTTCAAGAGCGAACTTGCTGAGGTGGGGGCTCTTTGGATACAGTTTTCCGATTGAGAGTGTTACTTATACACGTGTAATCGAATGAGATATGTGACAGTGAGAATTTCAGTGTCGTTCTTCAAAAAACGTCATTTTCTTTGGTTTTTTTCTGAGGTTTGGCAAGTTGAGGTCGTTGAGGAGTCACATAAAGAAATTAAGAATCGCCACCTTACTTCTGCAATAGTACATGAAATAGATGAAAAAAAAATCATTTTAAATCTTGGATGATTTACAACTAGCAGCATGTCGCATAATTTGACTTGTGTCACAGACGTTTCAGTTCGTTATGTCAGAGTTGTTGGTTTTTTAATTTTCACAATTTTCTCATCTCATTTTACAAACGTTTCTATATTTCAGTTGGAGCGAGAGATTTCCCGTCTACAAATATTGCTAGATCTCCCCTCGGACCGCCTTGCTGCCCTAACAGGAACCATTATCAATACCAGTAACAACGCATGCCTCAGACGCAGGCGGCAGTCTTCCACGTAAGTCCATTTCTTCTTCAGAACCAAAAAATACATTATGGTCAACGAGTTGCCAATATTTGAAGTAGTACTTGTAATTTCGATTAACTTCGGGTTTAGGGAACAAACGTAAAATGTAGCAAGTTTGTTTCACATCGCCGAGGTTTTTATCAAAACGTCTTTTCAATTCTCACGCTTGCGTTTATTCATATAGTTATCTATTTCCATTTTAGAATTTTGGATCTCATTGGAAATGCTGACTTAGCTTCGCGCCAACAGCTAGCAAACGTTACTCATAGCTTCTCTATCCCGCATTCAAGAACTTTTGACGAATGTCACAGGTCTTCCAACTGCAGGGCATCGGGTTATAGACATTTTAAGCAAAAAAACAGACGATACTCAACAGCTGTTGGTAACGCAGACGATTTGAATTTGCTGCGACACACGTCTGCTGGGTTTATCAGCAGACTACCTATGCAAGACACGCTCAACAACAGGTATATTCTCAGGAGACCGTCTTGGCTGACTGATGCCGACTGTATCTCATTATCAGATTTGCCTGTTAAAAACCTCAATCGTATATCCTGTAGCTTTCGCCACCGCACAAAACCGAAAAAAGTGACGAAAGAATGTGGAACACAAGTCAGCAATTATCAGTTGGAAGTTTTCAACCCTGTTGACATCAAATATATCGATGAAAGCACCGATGATATAACAATTAATAAGGATGCAGTAAATTGGAAAAATAGAAACTCTCCCTCAGGGAAAAGGGCCAATCGCAAAATGGAATTACAACAGAAATTACAAAGGATACGAAAAGAGTTGGAAGAATTAGAAACGTCGGACGTATAGCCAATATACTGGGTACCAAAATTTCAGTTTTCACAAAAGTGCATGTATATTGTGATGAACACCAAAATTAAAGGAATTAAAACAGCTACTGAACGTACTGAAACCTATGAACATATCACACTATATCATTAATACACATAAACAAAACTGCCCCGAAATCGACAACGGTGCTGCATAACAACCAACGTATGCAATGTTTAGAATTTTATTTTGACAGTGATCAGTTTAGGCGGTGATATAATATTGTACATTATATACATTGCAGAGTGCTTTATTATACATCAAATGCATTACGTTAATAAATTATATAATATTTGAAATCACATTAGAACGTAACATTACATTTGGCACCTTTTGTGTCTTGGAAACTCTTCTACAATTAAGTCCCAAAAGAGCCCAAAATACCACATGGTCAAGTAGTGCTCCCAATGCATACATGAGTGACTAGAACTTTATAAAACCATTAAATCGCGTATAAATATCACATCACCTCTTTTTGATGTTACTGGTAACATTTTACAAAATATTAAATTTTATTATTTAAAAATGAACTCTGATGTGAAAGAATGCGCGGCGCATTAAATACAACCGGTGATGCTAAACTGACACTTGAGATTCCTTTATCGTAAGCTAGACTACTGCTACGTTGTCGTCGATATCCGTAGTTTCAGTTGCTTCTAAACGCTGCTCACTGCTACATTTTTGTTGACCTCTTCCTCTGGCCACCCCTCCTCACCGTCCAGTCCGTTCTGCTCCTCTATCACAGTGCTGTATCTCTGACCGATAGTGGGACGATACCCCGGATACAGCTTGTCTTGATTGTGGACAAACGTGAACGCCGACTGTCGGGAATCCTGCAGGTGGTGATGGTTCAACTTGCCGTGCTTGTGATAAGGGAGTATTACAGGCGCATAGCTGATACTCTCTAAGGGAGATGGGGGAGGGGCGGAGGGGAAATCCATGTGACTTCTCTGTACGGTAAATACCGAAAATGGAGATTGTTCTAAGTTTGAGTCATCTGAAGGGGAGTTAATTCGTAAGTCCTTGGGTGGTGTCTTCGTTAGACTTAATGTTTGAGCAACATCCCTAACAGGCGACTTCTTACCATTCAAAACAGTCCCGTTGCTGTGAATGTACTCATTGTTTTGTGAGGCAGCCTTTTGTGAAAGAGCTTCGGAAAGCTTTTTGCTTTCTTCTCGAGGTAGAGTTCCCAGATCACCCGGTTCTAAAGCAGGCCTACAAGCCTGTCTGTAAGAATCGTTCAATTTTCTCCGGTCTATCTTAAACCCGATCTCCGAGGCTTCTGTGTCCGTATAAACAACGTCGTTGTTATGGAACACCGGGTTCTCAAAGCCCACTTTTTTGGGTACAGAAAGATTTATCTGCTGTCCATTAAAAACGGGAGATTTTGAAACTCCGCGTTTCACTGGGGACGCCGCCCTTGCAATCCCGGGTACTACAGTATTGATCTGTTGCGGATTTTTCAAAGCCCGAGAATCAAGAGGCTGCGGTTGAATTTTAACTTTTTGTTTCACAGGGGGCGGCTGCATGCCAGGAATATGTCCGTTACGCACTGCGGTCGGCTTGTTACGCACCACAAGTCTTTCTCTATCGCTCGTCTGGAGTAATGAAGATTCTCGCGAAGAATCCCGCAAGTCCGGAGACGAGACCTGAATGTCGGATGGAATCCTGCCCTCTGAGAACGATTCTTCAGACGTTTCTAGGCTAGAACCTCGTTCGATGGCACTGTCGGTGTTCGGAGATTTAGAGGGCGATAGCGACCGCCTTTCTTTTGGTAAAAGTTTTCTGGTGCTATCTTCCAATAACCTCTCCCTTCCTTCGCTCACCATGCTCTCTGAACCAGGAGACAGATCAGAGGACAGTTCCGCCCTCGTTGTATCGTTAAAACTTGTGTTAACTTTCATGGAGTCAATGACGCTTCGTCCACTTATATTGGGACTTGTCACATTTTGGGTGGTGTTTGAGACCTCCTGACCCCCACTTGACCCCTCAGTGTCATACCCCTCACGTGGGGAGTTGGGCTGTGTTTCCGGTTCCTGTTCCTCCTTAACTGTCGTGATCACTGATATTCGACCATCTGCTATATCTCGTAAATCCTCGCGAGACATAATGATACTTTCCTGTGACTTCACTCGGTATATATCGTCCCGAGATTTGCCGAGGTATTCCTGAGACCTGGTCCTCAGACGGACGCGCCGAGACATCACCTGCTCTTCAGACGGGCGCTTTGGGTTCCGTAAATAGTTCTGGAACTTCTCAGAACCGTAGAATAGACGATCTGTGAGCTCCCTGATAGATCTGTCCTTCTGTAAAGCCAAAGTAAAAGCATTTAACTAGCAGTATAGGCATTATGGCAATATAAATTTATTACAAGATTATTAGCAGAATGAGAGCAGAGTAAATGACAAAATAAAAGACAGTCAAGAATTCTTTCCTATAATGAACAGCAATGTTCATGTATTTCGTGTTGTTTTACAATGTGTACACTTATCATTTGATGGCTTTGAATAAGTTTGAATATATGTCATGTTTATCTTGGTAGAGCTACCGTTTCATTTTTATCTCGTTTCTATGGAAACGACTAGGATTATTTCACTTGCCTCTTTAAGCATTCGTTTCAGAGTATCAATTTCCGTGGCGACAACTTCTTTAACATATGGATTATCTTTGGATTTTTGGCCACCGAAGCATCCACAGAAGCCATCTTTAGTTTTCTCTTTAGTTTTCTGTACAGATTCGCTGAAATTGAACTTCGGTTCTGCGCCTTTCTTTCTCTTCTTGTCGTGTTTTCTCACCAACAACACCTAAACAACATTAATAGAAGCAAAGATTAGAAAGGCTTATATCTTTGCAGTATTGCCATAAAATACGATTAATCGAGAAAGGTAAATTTCGTATTCACGTTTACAGGGATGTTATAATACTAATTTTTATTTAACTTATGTCAATGGTGGATATTAAAGTATATATATATAGCACATGAAATATAATACTGTGTTAAAAGAATAAAAACAAACGTTAAAAAATGACACAGTGATATTTTAGGGAATATAGAAGCGTGACAAACCTTTGGAATGAAGGCAATGGTGAGCGTGGCAGTCGTGAGGACAATGAGGGCCGTGGCTCCTGCGGCGTATTTTATTGGCGCCGACATCTGTGTTGACAGCATTATGGGAAGAATAAGAACGCCAACGGCAAAGGCGCTGTAAATTATGACGTATAAATACTGGCTGTCTTTCAGTGAGGGCAATGTCACGTGACGCGTTTGCCATGCGCAGTAGAGCCCTCCAATCAGTAGCAACATCTTGTATCCAAAGAGTAGAAGTATCCACATTGCGAAGTAATCTGACGTGCATTCATTGATTGAGTGCATGATGTCAGTGTTACTGAGATTCTGAAAAGTAAATGACCACTCAGTAGAGGTTCACTGCTACTAAATCTGTTTTCTTAGAAAAAATAAAATATATGCAGTTTTTGTTCACTTTTTATCTTGCCAAAACATTAACAATAATTTATAACTATATTAGCGGTACAATGTATCTATTAAAAGGAGAGACGAACCAAATTTTCCAACAAGTTGCGGTTACTGTCTCACCTGATATACTTTGACCTGTGACATCTGCTGGCAGCTGATTGGGTCAACTAGTATCCATGGCAATAAGATGACCAGGTCGATGGCCAAAAGTGCGCCCAAGGCAAGCAAAAGGTGCTCATCCTTAGTCGTCTGAAATGACAATGATAATTTTGAACTCATTCTGTTGGTGTCTGCAAGTTTCAATCAACGTACTCGAGTCGGGTACAACTTTTTGAGATGAGATTTAATGAACCGATAAACAAAAAAATTAATTCCTTTGAAAGTTAGTCTAAAATAAATGACTGAAAATAACAAAAGTATTTAATAGATTTGCTTTAAAAGAGGTACTGGAATTTGAAACTGCCAGGCATAAAAAAATAATTGCCACTGCTGGGATAACAATGGGGATCATGTGAAAGATAAAAAACGCAGAAGCTCTTAAAATGCACTTATCTGTTTATATATCTTTCTATACTTGAAGAGAGGCTGAAAATAAAATAAGGCATCTTCCAAGAAAAATAAAACTCACTTTTCCATTGACCTGCATGTTTTTGAAAATGAGATAGACCCTCCATGTTTTGGCAAAGATGGACCCGTACACAATGGTAAACGACAGCGCCGTCAACGTCACGGTTGCCTAAAACAAACAATTTAAGAATGAAAATATTAAGTAAAATATATATTGGGAAAATAGGGATGTAAATGTGACAAAGTGACCATGGTAATTGGTTAATGCGTTTACAAATAGATTAATAATACACAGTTCACAGTTTTGCTCATAATATTTGCGTCCACTACAGTTTACTGGTATCTATGGAATCTAAAAAATCTGAAGCTTTTTTCTTCAAGAGCTTACCTGATAAACCTGACCAAGGATGTCAAGAGCAAAGTAGCCATTGTCCAGTCCCCCAAGAATGGCACAGCTGTATGCAAACACAGCGCCTACACAGACTATAACGTTTATGTTGGGACTGGTCATCTTAATGATTCTGCAACACCAAAGAACAATTCAATCAAAGTGGTGTTTACATATTTATATTATGTAAAACAGACAATAGTAAAAAGCAAAAACAAAACAATACAAAACATAGTAAAATGATATCAAAATATCTTAGATCTTCTATGACAATCCTTCTACTACCCCGAACAGTAAACTTAATATTTTTCCAATAACATATGGAATATGAAGTGTCTCACCTGTCTTTATTTTTGTTGACGTTGTACATCAGTAGAGCAAATGCATAGGCCATTCCCAAAACTGCGAAGGCACTCATGATAACCAAAAGATAGAGGGGGACACCATCAAGTTTGGTTTCCAAGACAACCTCGTCCTGTCCCATGACTTTAGAGATGTTAGTCGTAAGAACGACTTCCGACTCGTATTTACCGATAGATGTCAGCACCATATCTTAAATGAAATGTAATAAGGGAACCTTAGTGCCGTACATTGAAGATTGAGTGTTAGATATTATATATACAAGTTGTATCGACAAGGCAATTTCATGATGCTAGAAAATGACCACGGGTCAAATAGCTGGAAATATTTTTTGGGAGAACAATTTGATAATGCGAAAATGTCATATAGATTCATAATATCTGTTCAAGATCATCAACAAGATTCTGAATGATGTTTTCAAGAAGAAGAGCTCATTTATCTCAGATATCTTTATGGTTATAGATTGCTGTTTTGTCAAAAAATTCAAATGTGTTTTTCTTTTTCTAAAAAAAGGGAAGATTTCACAGATACAATCAGTGCCAAGATTTATAACATGCAATCACCTGCATCTGGCTTTTCGCAACCCTGGTGGGGAATAAGGACAGTTCTGCATATCAAAAACAGTTCTCTGTTCATCTATAATTAGTATTGATTGTCGCACAGTGGTTTGACCGAGTCATTAAAATGTAAAAAGTAAGATAGCCTACCCTCAAACCACGATATGCTGACGTTCACAGTTCGGAGTCCGGTTTTTGAAAACTTCAGGTATCCCTAAAATAGAAAATTCGTGTATCGTAACTCTTGCTTAAAACTTAAGTTTTTGTGCATATATATTTCGCGTCAAAGCATACATGGATGTTTGAACTTTTGCTTTAACTTGACCTGTGCCTTTATTTTCACCATCTAATATTTCAGAAAACTATCCAACGAACGCACTTTTAAACCAGTCGATTATAATCTTTCCTTTCTTTGGCATTTTCCGTATCTTACTCCAATCAACACTGGAGCATTTATGCACTTTTCCCCAAAATTATAATGAATTGAAATGAATGAATAAAAATGCCGAGAGAACTTACCGTTTTCCCGGACATACGTATGTTCCACATACTGGCGTCAAAGACCCTGGACACTTCCCGGAAGTCCTGGCTCCTGGACGTCTCCGCCAGGCTGGTATTGAGGGCCGCTATAACGGCCATGGTCGCATCATAAGCATAGGCGGCAGCACTGTACTGGTCTTCTGTCATCGTCTGACTGACTTCCAAACGTTGACGGAATGCCTGGTAACCCTGAGAATATGACATGTAGTCTTTTATTTTCTATTTTTGGATATTTTTAGACTGAATGTATAAAGACGAAATGAATATACAAATTAATCCATTGTAATAGTTCCCAATCCTTTCGCTCGAATTCTGTTATTTTGTATTGAAAGCAAGATAACTGACAGTTCCAACTTTTTTTCGTTTTCTGGTATGATTTTATTTCCATTTACACTTAACGGTGCGTTGAATCGCACCGATTTACTGAAATAAATTGACCAGTAACAAACAAAAGAAACTTTACAGACGGTGCCATACATCTTTAGAACTGCAGCGTTTTTATAGTTACACGTATAAACTTTTCGAACAGCTCACCGCAACAGTGTTTGGTACATATCACTACTTGGAAGGAAGGAGTAACGTATAATTCAAGTTTGACGTTCAATTTTCAACGCAAATATAGTTCCAAAAAGAGTCAAAACACCAAAACACTCACCACAACATCATAAAGGGACTTCTTGACGTCGACCAAGACCACTGAATTCATCCTGAAGTTGTCACACTCCAGAGTGGTAGGCAGGGAAAACAAGGTGTCGTCTGATGTAATGGGGACAATAAACCTGAACCGCCCGCTGTGTCGGCTGGTAGAAAACCCGGCAGAGCAGACGAACTTCTGTATGTTTTCCGCCGTTAGATAAATGATGACAATACGCAATTGACTCTCCTGTAAAAAAGATGCACCCATGATTGTTATTGTCTTTCACCTGCCTGACTTGTACGCGGCAATTTTCATGGGACAATTATGATTTTTTGACAACTGTTCTCCATTTAAACAGCTTCTGTTTCTTTGTCTTGCATTGTTCATTATATAATAATATTTTAGCCCCCTATTCTCTTTAAACTTTTGTCATCATACTGCATCTTTCAGAACCAATAGAAAAATTTTCCTTCCTAAGAGATTTATGTCACATTTTCACTGCACTTACTTCCAGTGTCGCCGCAGCATTGATTTTATTGAATTCCATTTCTAAGGAGACGTCTATGTTGCTGTTTCTGAGAGCATTTGCTAGTTGGCGGTATCCCTGTATAAATCAATGATGATTACCGTCTTAATACTACATAAAAGTACTTAAATACACTTTTTGTAACCAATGGTACTATATCCCACGTAATTGTTTTTCAACTGTTCATTTAGATCACGCCATTAAACATATTTCATGTAACACTACTTTTCAAGAATGTGGTAAAAATGAAAATGATGATCAGCGCCAAAAGTGCTTTAATGCTGTTAAATTCAAATTTAAGTTTTTATTTATTCATTTATTTTTATTATTTATTCATTATTATTATTTTATTATTATTATTATTTTTTAAACAGAAAACATACAATCAAATGCAGCCCTGTCGTCTGGTAAATGATGGCCACTTTCCTCCACGAGTATGTTTTCAAGAACCCAATCACGGCACCGTGAGAACTAAGGATTGTGGGATACGTCGTAAACACGTGTGGGGTTTCTTCCGTCAGAGGTTCTGCGGTTACCTGCAATGATAGAAGTTCTAAAATTGTTAACACACTTCGGTAATATGTATAACATGCTAAAAAGTGGAGCTTAAGTTTTTACTCCCTCGAGAGAGACATAAAATCAATAAATGTATCTATATCTGTATCTAGCTGACTCGACACTTCTGTTTCTAGGCAGGGTTTCTGTGGAATTTTACAATAGCCGATTGGTTCTGGAACCTATATCATAATACATAATACTTGGCACTTTTAAGTCATAACACTGCGATTATCTTACGACTATAAATATAACACTATCATTATTTCAAGCCGCACGAAGATTTCTAAAATAGCACCCTATTTTATTTCAATTTTTCACCTGGGGCACTATTCCCCGCGTAGAGGTAGACATGGGGGTGGCGCGGTCATTTGAGCACCCTCCGCCCAGCAGTAAGACATTTCCACTGCCAGTGCTTAACTGATGAAGTAGCAGGCGTAGTTCTTCTGTGGCGTCGCACTGAAAAAATAGTGAAAGAAAGACTCATAATGAAAATACTAAACCAAAATATCTTATCGATGTCATCTTATTTCCATGTCTTATTTCCATTATTTTAAAAAATGTATAATTGTATAATTTTAAAAAAAAATTTGGTAAATTATAATGACTTAGTGACCCACTTTTTTTAAAGATAAGTGAAAACGATTTTCCCTGCATATTTGATAGGATTCGTGAGTAATTATTTTCAACCATGCTTCCAGTGGATGTTTTTCAGACATCCACGACACACAATCGTACGTGTTGCAAGCGAGATAGCAAATCAGCAAGAATACGAACGGATAAGGTTTCCTTTCCTGTTTGCTATATTTAAAGTTGTCGCAGCTGTGGTAAAATATTGAGTAATTGATGCATTATTTGTGTTTAAAGGTGACTTTACTTTTTTTCTGTATGAAACGATTCAGGTACACGTAAAGCATGAACAAGCACATTCTGGTTTCTGCCACTTCCCTATAGCTAACGAAGCATTGGTTCCCATTAATAAATTTTACATCACATCGTTTACTCGATTAATTGTCTACAAAAAGGTGTCACACACACACACACACTCGCTCATATTTGGTGGAAATATTGACGCATTCGCAGTGTTACCTTCCAACTTTCCATTACATACAACCCTGTACTCTCGATTGCTGTATCTATAATAGTAGATTTGTATACAATTCAATTAACACAGTACTTATGGTGCTAAATTTAGCGTGCCATACAGATGGATTATTGTCATGATCATCTCTATAGGTAAATACCACGCCTGTGATCCACAAAGTTCTGCACTGAGTGGCCTGTTCAGAATCTGATTCATAATTCCCAAACTATGCGAGTAATAGTAGAAAGATTCCCCAGCGGCCTCGTGTTATGGCGTATGGCAGTCACCTTTGGCCGTTCTATTCTCAGGGATAGGTACCATGGGCTATAGATTCAGCGATTATCATCTGGTCTCCGATTATCTCAAGTTGAAGAGGATGGAAAGAAACCATTATTCGCCTGATTTAGCGTCAATAGATTTAATAAGGAAATGTGTTTCTTTTCCCGTCTGTATGATTTTCATTTGTGTATAGCCATGTTCGAAACGATGCCAATCTCGGTTTTAACCTTTATTTAAAAATACTGAAGGAATGAGGTAGGAAGCACAGGGAATGGGAAAATATTAAACGGTGACATTGAGAACCACGACGGGTTAATGTTTTTACTATAATTTTCAAGAAAAGGCATATATTGAAAAAAGTGGACACGGGTCAAGAGTTTTTAAATAATTATATGAATATCAGCTTATTCTGCAAGTCAAGGTGCACCTATGCTGAAAATGTTTAACACCCAGATTATGCAGAGGTATAGCCAACGCTCAGTACTCATACGATGTTTATCTCAAAATATGGTACACGAGAGATGACTCTGTAATTATATTTTTAATATTTCTTCATAAAATACATATTCGTTATAATTTCAAATACTGAAAATTGCAGGGGTGCATATTGCCCCAAACATTTGTCGTTAAAGACTATAATTGATAATTGATTTAAGGTATTCCTTGATGTCAAAATTATTGAGATTCCCATCGATTTCTTTTGAAAGAATATGACGCGTTACGAACCCGTTGATTTTTATGACAAAGGAAAATTTGAATCTATACGTTCTTATTATCATATAATATCCTTCCCTAATATCATACTTAACATGCCTTTGCAATCATGTCAAATTATGAGCTATTTTCCAAGGATATTTTCAACATGCTACTTGCTAAGACGTGTCGCACCAGCCGCCATATGACTCAAATACACAGATTCAGTCTTCAACTGAATACGACAAGTCTAACATTTTTCATAAACTCATGCTTGATTTAACCATGTTTGCCATTTTTTTACATCAGTTGTCTGGTTTCTATCAGTGTTGTTTGATGATTTAGAACGCGTAGTCAAACATGCAGTCTATATTTAATTGTAACGGGTCAACACGGGCTAGCGCAAAGCTTTGAAGCAACTCGCAACAATACATTAGTGTTTAGAACAGCATGTTCAAAATTTTAATTCATAACGGACCGATCCTACCCCACCTGACCTCCGACCTTCAATAATCCCGACATTTGTTACTAGCAGATCGGGCCTAGTCAGGCACATGAAAGTTTTCAAAGGAGGTTTTGCTTGAAACGAAATTATAACAACAACGGGATGAAAAGCGATTTTCTATCCGAACAGGCGGCGTTCTGTATCAAAGTTGACTCAAGCCTTGTATTACATCCAAATCTATTGTACGTTATGCGGGCCGATGACTGCATACGCAATGCGTACACCAAGAATACACCATCCGGGCCAGGCGTTTAACCAAAAGGGCCCTGGAATGCGCACAGTTATTTAAATACAGCTCGTCTAGTGCCTCGAATAGTTCAACATTTGTTCAAATGTTTCCCATTCAGGTATAGTATCAATAGAAGAAAGTTACTTTGAAGCACGGGTCGCCCCAAAGAGCACAGGTGAATAGGCGAGGGTAAATAGGTTTAAGCCTGATTGTAGAGGGTAATCTGTTTAACTTCAATATAGAAACACATACACTCGGTTTATATTTGTCACTTCAACTACTCGGATAAGTATGTGTATACTCTTAATCCATAAACACAAGATTTGAGCAAACAAATCAGTTGTAATAAAGACTAAGTGCATATCAAAGGTACTGAACCTCATTGAGTCCAGATTAAAACACTTTTCTGTTGACTATTAAAAACGCTGCGTCTTGGGACGCTTAAATTTTGGGAGGCCATGCCGCGACGCAAGTCACTTGGAAAAGAAAAGATCTGGAAGCCAGATAACGACGAGAGAATAAAGAGAAAATCTTGACTGCACCTATGCTGGCTGAATAACTGATTGAAAGGAGGGAATGGGGTCCAACAAGACCGTTTTTATCGAAATATTTGGCGGTAATTTTCACAAAAGGGAACATTCTCTCGTAACGATCCAAACTTCGGGCCTGTATATAGACCGTTCAGGTGTATACAAACCGTCTACCTAATGGCGAAAACATGAGACTAATCTTAGACTATAATCCCTTAATGTAGACCCCTTGTTAATCTGAAGTCAAGTATCTTAATCCCAACGTCCAGGTGAGCTAGTGGACATGAAGATGACAGCTCGGACACGGGTCAGCGGCCGTAATAACGCCGGACCATAAAGACTCCACTTTCTTCTGTGACAGCTGCAGAATGACTCTTTACATAAAGAGCCGCTGTAGTACTGACCCAATAATGACAACGTTCCAAACACGATAATGTGACAACTAGCTGGCGCTTACAGATAGTAAAATTACTTTCTTTCAGTCACAGAAAACATAATTTTCATTTATAATATTAGTCCGGTCTGACTGCAAACAGCCACTATTACACAGACAGCTTTATAAAGTTTATTATCAGATGCAGGGTATTGCGACATGTTTATTCCTGCTCATACTTAATTCCCCACATGGAATTTGCCGATCGTGGGTGTTCTTAATTTCTCCCGGGGTCAGAACTTGTATTGCAAAAAGAGAATTCCATACATCATTATACTTCCATATATATATATTGTATACTTAACTATTATTCAAGACGTTTGGTATGGTATTTGTAAATATGTAATATCGAAACTTGAACCTTTAAAACTATATCTATACCATTCACTTCCGCAACCCATAAGTAACTTCAATAACTAGTTGTCAACCTGTGGGCGGGACGCCCGCCCAAATCTTACATTATCTCCTTTACCAGAGTGTCAGAGAGATAAAGAAGAGAGCGAGGGGCAGACATATTTCAATATAATTTACTCTTGGCACGATTACAGATTGTAACGGTTTGATAGGCTACCCCTGCATTCCTTCTTAAATTGCGCTTTGTTCATGTGGTCTGTACATATTAGTCATACTAATTCAACATAGTTCATATAGCCGTTATATTTATATACTGAATGGGTTTTCTCATATTGTGAACAATAAATTGAAATCATACCAGAAAAACGACTTTGTGTCATGAACTATTATGATTGTTCTGTTAATATTTCTTTTGTTTCTGCTTCTGTGTATTTCGTATTGTTTTCCAAGTTCGTGGGATGTGTGCTGAATAGTGTGTGATTTCTCCAAATGAGAACCAGTTGATATTTAAGTTTTCACATGTGAAGTGAATGTTCGGAGGATATACAATTTATGAAATAATCCTGAATGATTGGTGTTTCAAGTTCATCTCAGTCTATTCAGTGACCCCCCTCCCCCTCCAATATTTGGCGCTTTTGTAAAGATCAAGAAATAAACCTGAAAGACGAAAAATCCAATTTCAATTTCCTTCTGGCTCATTTTCATCTTTCAGATTTTTATCAGACTTCTCGTAAATTTGACTTCTAAGCCACTCCTTGTTCGACAACCGAGTCACCATATATAAGTTTATCCGGTTTTGAGGTGATTTTCACCAACACTATAACATTTGGTGGGTTCCTACTCACACAAGCACCCTGAAAATCAGTAACATTTCATGAACACTTTACGCCCACTGTCAATACAGGGTAGGGCCTTAAAAATTTCTGAGGGGCTTCTCGTGACCTTAACGCCATTTTAACTCTGTATGTAAGAAATTGTGAAAAAATTAGACTGTGATTAGAGAGAAGGGATGAAGGTGTTAAGAAACATTGCCTGTAAGACTTCACAATGCAACGTAGAAGACTTTGTCTACCTCGTATAGAAGATATCCAGGTTTCGGTCCACGAAAATCAGGGTATTTATGCCAGGCCAGGCTAGGTTGAGGGACCAGCCCCCTTCGATGGAAAAGTTCCTCTCTGAATTAAAATTTGTTCTAAATTCTGTGTCAGCTTCCAAAGTATGCTCAAAAAGGGTTTACAATGTCCATCTTCAGTACAAGACCCCTCCCCCCCCACCCCATTTTAAATTGGCTACAGACCTGTATGTCATTCAACAAGAGTTCTTGACTCTTCTACAACTTCCACAAACATAACCTTTTCTGATGCACCCCTGTTAAGCATCAGACATACCTATTAAGGTTAATTTACCTGCCACCCTTGGCTTTAATGCTAGTCTTTAATAAAGATCGAAGATGGATTATCACTCTGCAGTGACTAGTCCGGCTTTGCTGATTTCGGCAGGGGTCTGCGGCGGGAGTAAGTGTTGCTAATATAGCGACAGGAAAATTGAAATGACTTTATTGACCATTCTGACAACAAGTTCTTGGCGCGAAATGAGGACATTTTTTTCTTCTTTTTCTAGATAAACTCGATTTTCCCCGGTTAAAGGGCAAACTGGAGATTTTGGGCAATTTGCTGCCTGGTCGCATTTAGGGTATTGTCCTCTACAAATGGTGCATTTTTCTCTGTTTTCTTTTATCCATAAAACGCACTATCACAACATATCAATTTTTGTTTTAGTATGCTTGGTCTACGCCACTTTATCTTTGAACCCTCAAGTGCAACATGAACACCCGTTCTTTCTCTATAATCCTTCAAAACAGTGTTTTCTCCCCACGATAATATCGAAGAGAATGGTATTATGGTGAGGGACTGCTGCACTTGCAGACAATGAATTTGTCATTTACGATCGAAACGAACTTGTCAACGAAAGCAGCCCAGCAGAAGAAATAGGAGATATGAACACTGCATGCGTTCTAGTCTTTGGTACGACAGGCGGCTGCACAATTGACATTTTACGGAGACGACTGCTGTCATTTTACAGAGACAGACGCTCGAGTAGGGTCCTCGCGCGCGGGAACTGACAAGTAAACATACGTTTTTTGAAAAAAAGTCAATGAAATTGATTCCACTTTTTTTACCTCACAATACAAGATTTTTCCTCTGAATGAACCTGAATGCAGAGGCATGGTTAAGCGTTACCTACAGTCGCCAGTATTCTGCATTAATCCTATTATTACATATAGACCTTCCCTTTGATCCGTACTTGATTATATACCGTTAAAGTATAACTACATGATCATAAAGAAGGGGAAAAAGCGGTTTCTGAACTGCAGCATTTTGAACAAGACAACTTTTTCTATCAATTTGAACATTACGTTTTAAACATGTAGATTAAAAGTCATCTCTCAGCGTGTCAAAGTACCGCTAATGAGACAACGAGTTAAGACGCCTCGGCTTAATCTTTGTCTCTTAATTAGACTGCGCGAGATAGAATCCATCCACGCGTCGGTTCACCCCGAAGACAATTTGCACTCGATAGAGTCCCAACAAAGCACTGATCTCCAGTTTATTCACATAAGAAATTATCATTTTTCTCTCAAGTATCCCCTCGCGCTCTGATTAAAGTTGTTCTTATTTCGCTCACTAATTGGATTTTTTTCAATCACTACAGACCTACGTTTTATTTTTCTTCTTATTTTCCTCTTGATGAAATCAGACCTTATTCAACCACGCCGAATCTGATAAATCGGTCAGATATCTGATTTTCAGTTGGAGAAAATTTATTGCCACGCTTTTTATCGTCATCTTAATTGCCAGTTCAACTCCATGCGGTTACCCTTACAAAAATGTTATCAGTGTGTTGAACTGCGGCTCCCTACAACTGTGTAACATCAGGATTATAATTATAACTGGAATCTGATAAGAATATCCAATAGTTGAAAGGTAAAATCTCTATGAATTCTTTTTGGGTTTACTCATGATGTTGGTATTTTCCTATATATTAAACAATCTAAATTTTGAAAATTTATTCCAATCTAAAATGTAATCACATTCCTAGCCTAACCATATTGATGATATGATACTAGAAAATTAAAGAATTTTTTCACCTCAGCAGACATCAAATAATCCCGACCTAAGTGGTATGTTTTTGTAATAAGACAAACAGAGTAAAACCGAAAAAGAGGCATATGCTTTACACATCTTTATCACCAGATATAATGGTCCCATCCTAAAATTTAGGCTGACCAGTAAAAACTGAGGCAAGTAAGCAAATATCTGCCCTATATTATATGGACACTAAGTCACACATCCTCACACCGAAGACAACTAACACGGCTTATAAACTATGAACATGACCGCTATGTAACCAACATAATTATATAGTGATTTGCCCGGAGGGGTGGGGGGCAGGGGGGGGGGGGGGGGAGAGCGCAAAATCAAAGAAGTGAAATGCCAAGAGATAACTTATGTTTGTCACAAGCTAGGAATCGATCTTTGGTGCCTTAAATGTCGTAAAGGACGCCAGACGTGGTGGCCTTCCCATGCTCGTCGCATGTTTCAAGGCGGATTTACATCATCAGTATGAAATAAACTCCTTGTCGTTTTTCCGATATTTCTGTGAAATTATGAAATCTTAGTAATGGGGGTCGCAGCATGATGAAAAGAATGTCGTGATACAGATCTGGCGGGGATTACCATGGGTTTATTTTACATAGGTCAACGCACTGCAATATTGTATAGGGCATTACTCGATTCCTTGTTATTTGTCTAAATGACAGTTGTAGAGCGTTATAATCTCACATATTATTCCTTTTAATTTTGAAGGGCGTTTCAGTTTCAAAATATTAATACGTAACTGGTGCGAAAACGGGTGAGTTGAAATCCTTCAGGTATTGATCTTTCGGCCACATGGAATTATATATATATATATATATATGAAATAAGGATAATGATTCCTCGTGTTCAACTGGAAATTATGACAATTAACACGAGATCAATTTTGTGTAATATCCTCCATACAGCTTTAAGCTGGCATCTCCCCTTGGTTTAAATTCGCAGTTCATCCCTTAGCAGTGCCAAGAATATAAAAACAAAATTATATGTTTGGGAGTGAAAGATTGCATACAGCAACTGACTCCATTTTGCCATGGAGTCATTCTCACCAAAATGTATTTGGTAATTCCATACAGTCTTGTTGATTTCTTAAAAGTGCCAAGAAAATAGAAATAAAATAAATGTGGGAGTTATAATTATGATGTGTTCTTACCAACTTATTGAATCTTACCTTGGAGTCATTGTAGGCAAAGTTTATCAGGTAGTTTCCAAGGGTCTTGTTTTGTCCTAAGGCGTCCAAGACAGCGAGACGTGCCCCCCTAAGTTGGGCAAGACCTTTTTGGGACTGGGGCCCAGTCAGCGGGAAAAGGCCGTAGATTGTTATCGTGTTCAAACATGAGATTCCCGGAATCTGACACAATATTATCCAAGTAATAAAAAATCCCCCGAAAATAAACCTAGGCTGTTTCCTAGAAGGGGTGTAGTTTTCCTTTTCCGCCCTCATCTCCGCGACGTACGTTGCGTTTCCATTCCCTGAGATGTATCCTTCTAAAACTGACGTGCGGACAATTCGACGCTAATTTTTGTCACATTCCCGACCATTCATCGCCGCTCTAGTATATCCACAGTGTTATCAGATGCCCCGTCTAGATAACGTGCACCTTCCGCTTCATCCTCAATCCCCTTTTCAAAGACAACGGAAATCTCGTTAGCTGCTATCACGTCTCCGAAGTTCCAATGGCCCTTGAGCTTTGTTCTTTTCTGTCCCCGTGTTTTGTAAATTCAGGTTTCGTTGATGGAATTTGTAGAGGATAAATAAGCATGAAATTCAATTCACGCTGCTCCCTCCTTACTTTTGTCTGCCCTTGGGTTGCGCCACTGAAACAGAAAATGAGACGTATTCTTCGAGACAAAGCTCTAGGAGGAGGGATCTATCGCGAAAGGGCCGCGACTATTGTTGCACATGTTTTCCCAATCATACGCCGTGTTTACGTTACGCTTCGTTCGCTCACTAGAGGGCGCCAGGAGTTGCTATTCTGGTGGAACTAATTTTGAACTGGATAGAGCTCGTGAATTTCAAGATAGACCCAAATAATATTGAGTGGAATGTTGTGCTGTTAGCTATAGAGCAAGCTGTAGGCTCCGTAAGAAGGGAACGACGAGAGTAAACCTGTTTTTACTGTTTGATTGTTTTACTAGTTCTAATCTCAACATCCAAAGCTGCAGCGTTACCATGCAAGGCGCATAACACTGAATACTCATACAATTACGTCATCATTCATCACCACAATATTATACACTAATTTTCTAAGCTATTTCATAAGAAGGCCTAACCGAACTGGAAATTCCCCTAACGATCTATAATAGACTATATGACGTTATAATCCCACAATATCAACTGCCAGCAAGTCCAATGAATAGCTGAAAACTGTTGCGTTCAAATTGGTTTTAAATTGTTTAGATGGCCAGCTACATTTACCACGAATTTCGTCGTCAGAGGTATCTCTTGATTGCTGTTGGCACTATCCCTGAAGAAGCCGTAAGAGAACCCTGCCTTCCGTGATGAACATGAGCACATTAAATAGATATAACATGCAACTTCACTGAAAAAAATCTGAGAATAGCATCTTTTGACTTTTTATAGCCCAGTGTGAAACACTTAAACATGGTTTAGTCATTAAATATCGTTTAGGCTCACAATATTGTATTCATGGAAAAGGCGATGCACGGTATTCATGTGCACGATTGTCATCCACGTTCATTCAACATAATGAGGAGCAACAGACTTGGTTTTGTTTTATCGACTTTTGATATACATTGCACAAAATTCACTACGGAAAATAATACGCACGCCAGTTGGCAAAATGCAGCGAAGTTGTTTCCGACAAAAAAAAAAAATATATATAAGGAACTATTCCGTTTATTGTTTTTGTTTTTCATTTATTTGCTCATTTTTCTATTTGACAATATTATTGTGCTAATAAATTCATTTATACACTTATATATTTCTTATTTCAACTCAAAATTAATACTATACATTTTTTTTCAATTTTTGAAGCTCAGAGTCATACTGAGATAGATCACAGCGAATTTCAGATTTCATCGAGATTACAGTTAGTGTCTTTACCTGGTAACCAGGGAGCGTAAAGTAATACCAGCAGCATATAAGACATTAATCCACGGCTAAGTAGCACTAAAAGTGTCAATTTAAATCGCCGATACAGGAAGTGTCTTTGTGAAACAACTTCTGGCAAATCGATAAAGTAACTGGCTCTCAAAATAAAGGAAAACATCAAGTATAAAAACACAGCAGTATTCCCCTCACATTTTTATAGTAAGCGTCTGGTAGGAGATCATCTAATTGATTAAAGTCTGTTTAAGATCACTCACCTCATGAATATTACAAAGAAATTAGCATCCTGATTAACTTAAGTGGTATTTACAAATTAACCATCTTCGCAAAGCCAAAAACGTCAAAAACGCGTTTTCTCTTAATTCAGATTCAAAATATGATATCGATTATTTTAATTAATGAGCAAACGCGGTGCCATGCGTACAAAAGGGAGATTAACTGTCTGAGACTTACCATTTATGCTCCTGGAAAAGAGGAAAGATAAAGAAAGCTGCGGATTGCTGCAGTTGCGACAAGGCCATTGCGACGGAGATTTTTATCTCAACTGTCGCATTCAATGTTTATGTCATCTTAAAAAACTATAGTGATGCTCGCAAATTGACAGCCCACTGATTAAGATAAGCCGCAGTGCCCGACTTGAGCACTGACAGCAGACACTATTCACGCTGGTTTATCTTAGCTGTTTACGAGGCGTGAAAAGTACAAATCAGGCTATCGACGTTTTTTTTTAACAATCTATTTTACTAATCATCGGATCCCCCTTTCAGACTGGGATCCATTTTCCGGCTTTCCGTCTCAATCTACATACATTACCAATTGCAGGTTTACTAAAGGCAGCCAGGTAGGTCAATAATTCATTGTTTTTGCAGATCAGAAATGACGCCTTGCGCTTTTAATATTTTACCGTATGGGTTTGGTTAATGGCGAGCGTGTTGTTTTAGAAGAATGTGTCACGCTGCAGAGAATGTATATAGATATAAAGTGCTGGTTATGCTTTTGTGTTTTGTACACGTGGCGTTATCTGGTGGCAAATTGCACTTATTTATACAAAGGTTTTTATTTGAGGTTTAATAGGCAGATGCTCGCGGTACTGGTGGCGGGTGTGAACGAACAAGGAAGTGACACTCTTGGTAAAAATTTCAACCGGTAAGCCCAGTGAAAATATATAATTCAAAAAAAAAAAAAAAAAAATTATGAGTTCCATTTTTAAGTAAGACAGAAAAACGATTATCAATATTATTTTTTGATTCAATGATGTACCATGCAGGCCGTATCTGCTCTAAAAAATTCATTCACATTAAGGTATAACAGAGGCAGCGAATTTAATATGTTTATTTGAAATGTGTTTCTCATTTCAAGTTTACGAGTATTGCATATCCTATTACATAATGCTACTGTTATTAACGGTTTCACGATCGTTATAAGATTTTTTGTTCACTGTTAACTATTAGTGGGAAAACTAGGTTTATTACCTTTTTGTACTTAAGGAATGAACTTGCTAGCATGTTTTGTTGAAAATATGAGCAATTAAACAATGTGATAAAAAGAGTCTGTAAAGCATCTCCAAATATTGAAATGAACGAAGATGCACTCACGGTAGATTCAGTGCATGTTTATATCGAAATTACCGAATACTGTCATGATATGTTCAATTATATATTACCAGTATAGTGCAGCTCAAAATTACACTGATTCAAGTGATACAGTCAAGTTAATTTATGGTTTGAGTATACATCAGGAACAAATATATAATGTTGTGTTGCTTGTAAGTAAGCAACTTCGAAAGCCTCGATCTAAGTGCTCGATTTTTTTTCTTCACAGGTGCTGGATCACAGAACTGAAAGATGAAAGAGCCGCTTTGGTGAGTTTTTTCATAGTCAGATGATTACTGTGATCTATTTGCTCCTTTTTTCCCTTTGTTACCTAATTTTCACTAACAAATTTTTGCATAATTTTCACTAACAAAAAAGTTGAGGCCCGAGTATTGGAGGTTCCCCTCCTCTCCCCCCCCCCCCTTTAACCAGAACTTGGACAGGGATGTTTTTTTTTCTCCGTCAATTTGCGACCTCTGGTCACTACTTACATCACAGGCTTACCTCGCCGCTCCAGAGAAACATTCGAAATTGGATGTTGCAACCATACGTCAAATTCCTGGACTTCAAAAAACGTTTCGATTTTCAGATATCTCTTTACACAACTTGGCGGTAATGTGAGTTTAGCAACCTCCTGCATAGAAAAAAAGCTCAGACGTAACCCTAATACACTTCGCAGCAGTTTTACCCATCTTTGTGTTATACACGCTTATTTCACTATTGATTTCTTTATTCTGTTGTTGATAGTATTATCAATAACAGTTCCACAAATAATTGGTTGTATTTTATTATAAAATATATGTATAATCTTGCATGAAATGCATAATATATGCAGCGCCTGTATATCTAGGACGTTTCTCTGTACTGCGTATATATACTTATAAATATTTTATAATTTGGAACAGTGCAGCAACACTCGAAGTGATTGGCGGATGTTACTATGTGCTACTGAATAAAATTTTAAAAAAACCTATAAAGCCCAAACGGAATGGTTGGCGACAGTTACTATGTAATTCTGAAAAAAAAAACATATTAAGCCCAAAACGGAATGGTTTGAATAACGTTTCGTACACGATAAGTTATCATAAGGGGCAATTCAGCAGGGCGTGCGTTAAATATAGACATACATTTGATACCGTATTTAGTCAGTGCAAAGAGAATGTTTTCAGGGAATATTCCCTGGTAGTTTTTAAACAACTTGGATGCAAAACAAAACAAAAAGATGAGTTATTACACAACGAGCAACGTGACCTGTGGTTTTATTCGAATTCGCCTGTTTCACCCGATATACCCGTTCAGTGTGAATTGATGACGAGTCTACATTTTGGTGTGCCGCTACGTATATACATATAACAAAGTGAAAACACCACATCATATTAAACTTGCCCCGTTTTAGCAAATATATGCACTCGAAACGAGACCTAACGTATTATGACGTCTATTATATGGATACTATATCAATATATCAGCTCAATTATAACTAATTAATTTTGTAGCCCTGTACTCGCTTGCCACGGTGTCGTCTATAACACAGCTGACTCAACCACATACGTGGAACGCGTCAAGTGCAGCTAGTCAATTTTCTCCTCAGTTTAATACATCAATAATTGATCGTATCGCTGACCTGCGTCCGAGTAATCCCATCTGGTACAAGGCCGCTTGGAACAGATTTATGTACA